ATTAGATTGTGTTATATTAAGGTCTACACCTACCCCAACCCTAAACCTAACCCTTACAATAATGCAAATACAGTAATTATTGTCCAGTAGCTGTTGAAAGCCACTGGCTCAAGATAAGACTTTTCAATACTTTTTGCTCTGAATAGTGTCTGAATTGTATTGGTCGATGTCATGAATCAACTGATTGCTACGACTGACTCTGGCTGGACTTTTTAATAATGTGTCCTTTGCATAAATATCAGCTGCAAATATTGTCAATGTCTCACAAGTTGAGAGAAAGAACCAAAAAATTATATGATTTTAAACTCTAAGCTGAAAATTCATAACTCTATTAATTACACAGGGACTATTAGTCGCTGCCTTTTTACAACACGCACACCAAGTAAACACTTAGGCTTAATTAGGAAATTGCAGAGGGCCAGTAGTAGTGGAAATGCATTTAGTGTGAAACATTCTAGACTTGGTCGTTATTGGAGAATTGCCACAGGCGCCTATCTTGGAGACGTTTACCAAGAATTAAGTGCTGTGGCTGATAATAAAGCTTCAGTATTCAAGAAAATATTTAGCGTGTGTGACAGACAAGTGTCTCGAACAATTAATTTGCTTACATGTGTTGATCTTTCATTTGATGTACTCCCCGCATACATTACCTTAACCTTTGGTCTTTGAATTCTTGTCATTTTGAAATTAGTGTCCAAGTGGTTGATTATCTCAAACAATTAACCAACATGACACACTGAAAGCAAGAAGTGGCCCCAGGGAGCCTTTCTAATTAGAATCGTATCCATGGTGTAAGACAGTTGGTGTGTATCATGTTAGATAAGATTCAACCAATGATATCAGCAGGGGACTCATACTGAGCCAAAATTAATCATGTATTGCAAGGCCTCTTCGTGGCAGCTCTGAAAGCTCATAGAGCCAATGTCTGGATGAACTTCCCTATAGGTCAGACACCAACAAAGACTTTGCATCTTTGTTTTTCTCCTTTTCAGTGTCTCCCTAGTGAACCTGTCCACATGGAGTTTACTGTGGATATCGGTTCTCATGGCACATTTCACAGCATATCGTCAGGGTCTTACTCTGCAAGACTATCAGTGGAAAACAAGAAAAAAGAGTGCAGGTGAAAAGGAAAGATTGCATTTTCTGCCTCTTTCACCCATTCTCCATTTTCTCCTGCATTTTCACTGAGCCTTAAACTGAGCACTTTTCCCTCTCCTATTGAGAAGTTTGACATTGATCATCTGTATAGCCAGTTAACTGGGTATTTAAGGGGCACTGGAAGGTCTATTGTAGCTAATGAGGTCAGGCAGTAAAGTTAGAGCAGAATTAATTGCTTGCATAATTCTGTCTTTTTCTGTCCATCCTTTTTCAATAAAACATGCTTCAGAGGAAGCTCAGCCATAGGGACAGACTTCCTTCTTGACCACTGATGCACAAAAACCTAAACGAATAATTAATTTCCCCATAGCAGACTTCACAGATGATTTAGAGAGAGGTGGTGGTACATTTTATTTTAGTAAAATCCTACATTGTAATGTAGGGATGGGAATTGTGAAGTATTTAATCATTCTGATTCACGTTTCTTTTAAAGGGGTGGTTCATTGCGATTTCACTTTTTTAATGTTAGTTAGTGTGTAATGTTGCTGTTTGAGCATAAACAATATCTGCAAAGTTACGAAGATGAAAGTTCAATGCAAACGGAGATATCGTCTTTTAAAATTCCGGCAGTTTAATGCTTACAAAAACGGCTGGTAGGGACTACAACGAGTTACTTCCCGGGTTCATGACGTAACAAACCCAGATAAACCCCGCCCTCAGAAAAGGGCAACAAAGGGGGCGAGGCCATGCTGTGCTGCTTTAGAGAAGAGGACAAGAAAACTAGAGGAGCACGTAAAAATCTATTCATATATGAATCGCGATTCTGTCTTCTAACGATTCTATGGGATTCACAAGTTTCAAAATCAATGTTCTAAAGCAGCGGTTCTTAACCTTTTCAGTGGTGAGTTTAAAATATTCTAGCGGTCACCCCAGAGTGAGTTTTTTTAAGGCAACCTTTATTTTAGAAAGTTTCCCCTTACTATTTCCATGGCGACGCATCAGGCTTGTCACATGACACACCTCGGCCACAATAACACTGTATGACAGATAGATTGCTTTTATTTAGTTTTTCCTTTTTTATTTAAAATATTCACAAACTAGCATATCATGTCATGAACAATCTGATATTCCGATTCACAAATGTGTAAATGAGTGTGTTTTATCATTTAAAAACCTTTCTAAATTATCTTGATCGTGATCTGTATTGTGAGATGGGCGCCGCCATGTTTGTTCGCGCTGGAGTTCAGAGAGTCCTGTCAGTTGGATTTACGTGAATTCATCAATTTCTCCCGAAATACAAGTATTAAGTGGCCGGTGAACTGGGTGAAAAATAGAGTGAACTTTATAGTTACTTACACTATGTGTATCTGATATGAATAAAACACATCGGCAAAATAAATTTGAATGGATTGTTATTGTTGCTTCCATTTTTCAAACTCTAAATGTATTGTTTTACTAGTACTTATGTGTATTTAAATATGCATTATGTGGTTAAGAACACTGCATAGTTGTGATAGTATGACAAGATCAGTGCACGTCTCTCTCTGGCTCAACATCAGCTAAGGCACGAAAGCAGTTTGAATTTGGCAGTTATGTGACGTCACCGAACGTTATAAATCCCATATGTGGGACCGTACTCCCAGGGGCACGGAAATAAAAATCCCATATGTGGGACCGTACTGCTCAAAGGGTTAATACTGAAATACTAATACTAAAGAGTTTTTATATTTTATATTTTTTATATTTAAAGCGAGTTTTTTGGGCATTAAAGAGTAGGGCTTGTTGTTTGTCATTTCTCAGATCACAAATGCAGACATCATTTTATGTTTACACGGCGCAGCGCGATGCAACGCAACACGTAAAAAGACAGTATAAGTCATTATAATCCATAATTATGTCCCCACTGGATTCAACGAATGCCTCGTTTATAATGGGTTTTCATGTTTTTGAATCATCGCTCCGGCATGACAGGGCATCATCACAATATGGTAAGGGGCGTAACATTTCCGTCACACGCTTGAGGTATTCGGCCAATCATAATGCACTGGATAGCTGGCCAATCACAGCACACCTTGCTTTTCCGACCGATGAGCTTTGTAAAAATCGACGCATTTCAGAAAGGCGGGGCATAGAGGAGAAACAATAATGTACAGTGTGTGGAAAATAATGTGTTTTTTGAACCTTAAACCGCATAAACATATTTCATTACACCAAATACACAAAATAATGATCTTTTTAGCAACATCATATGACCCCTTTAAAGCTGTAAACAGGATAAAACCGTATATTAAAAGTTAACATAAGCAGTAGCATTTACAACTAACAGCGTATCTAAAAGTATGAGACAACAACTATCAAAAAACATAGGCCTACCATTAAAAGTCTTGCTTGCACAGGTTCTGTGCGATCCTCTTCAAGAATATCCTCTGCTTCTCAATCGGCCTCAAACTGATAAGCGATATTGATGACTCTGTTGTTTACAGTTGTAATGTGGTGTTAGAGTTTTGTCATGTTCATGTTTTCATGTCTTTTAATTTGTAATTGTTTCATGCTGTTTGTGTCATGCTTCCCTTGCCCTAATGTATCTCTGCCTTCTGTATGTTTCATGTTCTGATTGGTAGTCTTAGTCATGTGTCTTGTTTCCAATTGGTTTGTTCATGTCATGTGACCCTCCTTGTCTGCTATAAGTAGCCATCATATTCCCATTGTGCATTGTTGTGTATTGATGTTGTAACTCTGCTGTTGGTGAGTCCTGTTCATGCCAAGTCAAGTCTGTTCATGCCTCGTCAAGTCTGTTCATTCCACGTCAAGTCTGTTCTAGTCAAGTCTGTTCTAGTCAAGTCAAGTCTCGGATTATTGTTTAGATGTTTGGATCACCTTTGTAAATAAACTGCACTTGGGTTCACACTTCAACTCGCCTTCAGTGGATTGATCGTTACAGAATATACAACCACCACAATGAACCCAGCAGATCATCTTGTTCACCTTCACCAAGGAAACCGGGCCATAGAGGATTATGTGGAGGACTTTTGTGGACTTTATCATCAGGTAGATTTTAAGGATAGCTTCCTGAAAGACATTTTCCGTTATGGTTTGGACAAAAATGTATCTCGGTTAATGTCACGTAATACCCCACACTGGTCACTAGAAAAATATATAGACTTTGCTCTGCAGTTGAGTGGATCTGCTTTCACTGTGGGTGTCATGGAGGAGGAACATGACACTTCCCCAAAACCTGTTCCCGTCATGTCTGCCAAGCCAAGGTCTGCTCACATCATGTCTGCCAAGCCACAGCCTGCTCACGTCACGCCTGCTACTCCAGGGTCTGCTCACGTCACGCCTGCCAAGCCACAGTCTGCACACATCATGTCTGCCACGCCAAAGCCTGTTCATGTCACACCCGCTACTCCAGGACCTGCTCACATCATGCCAGTTAAGTTAAAGTTTACTCCTGTCATATCTACCAAGTCAAAGCCTGATCACATCACGTCTGCCAAGCCAGAGTCTGCTAACATCATGTCTGCTACCCCAGGGCCTGCTCGCGTCACGTCTGCCAAACCAGAGCCTGCTCCCATCATGTCTGCTACGCCAAGTCCTCTTCACATCACATCTGCCATGCCAGAGCTTGCTCACGTCATGCCGGCACATCAAGAGATTCTTCACAACATGGCCGCCATTTAAGAGCTTCATCGCAAGATGGCCGCCACACAAGAGTCTCTTCGCAAAATGGCCGCCCTTCTAGAGTCTCATCAGGTCTCAACTGATCTTCCAGAGTCTCGTCATGACATGGCCGCCATTTCAGGGTCTGCTCGCGTTACGCCTGAGTCCCTGGCAAAGATGGCCGCTACACCTGAGTCCCCAGCCAAGATTGAAAAGACTGATGGCTAGCGTGATGGACTTACCACTGATGTTGGTGAGAGCTGCAGGCATCCCGTTGACGTCAGTGCTCTTAAGCCCAACCGTCCTAGAGGTCCTGCCGCCCTCGGCTGCCCTTACTGTAATGGCGGCCACCATTTTAAGCATGTGGGCTGTACACTGCGCTCAAGAGGCCTCTCCTGTCCGTAAATCTGCTCCTGAAGCCTCTCCTGTCCATGAATCTGCTCCTGAGGCCTTTCCTGTCCATAAATCTGCCCCAGTGGCCTCTCCTGCCTATGAGTCTGTCTCAGAGCCCTCTCCTATCTACGAGTCTGCTCCAAAGGCCTTTCCTGTGCATGAATCCGCTGCAGAACCTCCAGAGGTGGCAGCATCCGCTGCAGAACCTCCTGAGGTGGTGGCGTCCGCTTCCGAACTCACTGTCTGCGCTGTCACGGCCATGGAGGCCGTTCATGAACGCTCTGTCTGTCCTTTCACGGCCAAGGAGGCCATTCAAGAACTCTCTGCTTGTTCTGTCACAGTCAAGTGGTCTGTCCATGTCTCTGCTCCGCCATGGCTTCCTGCTCTGCCGTCATCACCCGGCCGCCCCGCTCTGCCTGCACCGCCATGGCTCCCCGCTCTGCCTGCACCGCCATGGCTCCCCGGTCTGCCTGCACCGCCATGGCTCCCTGCTCTGCCTGTTCCTCTTCACAGGCCTGGCCCTCCGTCCCACCCCCAGTTCCGCCTCCACTCCACCACCCTCCTGGACTTTTTGGATTTTGTTTGGGCATCTGGAGCCGCCCTTAGAGGGGGTGAAATGTAATGTGGTGTTTGGGTTTTGTCATGTCCATGTTTTCATGTATTTTTATTTTGTAATTGTTTCATGCTGTTTGTCATGCTTCCCTTGCCCTCATGTATCTCTGCCTTGTGTATGTGTCATGTTCAGATTGGTAGTCTTAGTCATGTGTCTTGTTTCCTATTGGTTTGTTCATGTCATGTGACCCTCCTTGTCTGCTATAAGTAGCCATCATGTTCCCATTGTGCCTTGTCGGGTATTAATGTTGTAACTCTGCTGTTGGTGAGTCCTGTTCATGCCAAGTCAAGTCTGTTCATGTCAAGTCTCGGATTATTGTTTGGATCACCTTTGTAAATAAACTGCACTTGGGTTCACACTTCAACTCGCCTTCAGTGGATTGATTGTTACAACAATACAACTGGTGCACATGCCGCTGAGGTGAGGGGTGGGACGTTTTGACGCGCACTAGAGGTGGTTTAGCCAATCACAACACACTGGGCTAGCTAACCAATCAGAGCCCATCGCCTGTTTCTGAGGGAGGGGCTTCATAAAAGAAGGAAATTATCTGCCCATTTCTCAGAGAAGGGACAGAGCAGTGTGGAATAAAGGTAAATTATGTGAAAAATAATGTGTTTTTTAAAAAACGAAGCATTAATACATGTGCCTACCATTAAAAGCCGTGCTTGCACAGGTTCTGCACGATCCTCTTCAATAATATCATCTGCTTTTCAATCGGGCTCAAACTGATAAGCGATATTAACAACGCCTTGTTTACAATTCAACCGGAGCACATGCTGCTGAGGTGAGGGGTGGGACGTTTTGACGCGCACTAGAGGTGGTTTAGCCAATCACAACACACTGGGCTAGCTAACCAATCAGAGCCCATCGCCTGTTTCTGAGGGAGGGGCTTCATAAAAGAAGGAAATGATCTGCCCGTTTCTCAGAGAAGGGACAGAGCAGTGTGGAATAAAGGTAAATTATGTGAAAAATAATGTGTTTTTTAAAAAACGAAGCATTAATACATGTTAGACTGCACCCCATAAACACAATCAAGCCTAGAAAAAAAATACTGAACCACCCCTTTAAGAATTTCAGTTCCAATAATTGTTCCATTAATGGTTCTTGCAGGGAAAAAAAAAACAAATATGTAAATCGAAATAAATGTAAATGTTCAAGCATTTTTTATGCAGACAAGGACTTTTCACAGTCTTTTGGGAGGCAGAGTAAATATAATACATTGTATGTTTGTGTTTCTCAGAGAAGGGACAGAGCAGTGTGGAATAAAGGTAAATTATGTGAAAAATAATGTGTTTTTTAAAAAACGAAGCATTAATACATGTTAGACTGCACCCCATAAACACAATCAAGCCTAGAAAAAAAACACTGAACCACCCCTTTAAGAATTTCAGTTCCAATAATGGTTCCATTAATGGTTCTTGCAGGGAAAAAAAAAACAAATATGTAAATCGAAATAAATGTAAATGTTCAAGCATTTTTTATGCAGACAAGGACTTTTCACAGTCTTTTGGGAGGCAGAGTAAATATAATACATTGTATGTTTGTGTTTCAGTAAAAAGTCTCATAAAGATAATCTAGTCATGCTGTCAATTTCATGCTTTAAGTAATCTGTATTATAGTACTGTATTCCTCCCAGTGTAAGAATGTACCTGTGAGTTTATTTATTTATTAATGTAACAGGTTATGAAGAACCAGCTTTCAGGTCTCAACACTATTCCAATCCTGCTTCCCTTAACAATTATTTCATTTTAATGGACTGGAATTATGGATTACAAAGACCATTGTGCTGTTGAATACTGTTGCTCTTTCTAAAAATTGTGGACTTAAATACATCATGAAATACTTTCTTTGAAGTGACCTTGACTTGATAGCTCTTGTATTAATTGAAAATTGCTATATCACATTCCATTAGTTATGCTGTAAAACAGACGGACCTATACACAGAGAAAATGTGATTGCTTAATTTCTCTTGTATGCTTAATTAAAAATGGCGTACACCTTATCTTCCACTCTGTGGGCCAGTGACCAAATAGAGCTTGTCTTGTTTTAGACAGCTATTGAGACACAATGAGTTCTCTGTCTTGTTAAAAAAAATAAGTGTGGCAGCCAGTGGTTTGGTAATGGCTGGACTCCACAGGTTACATGTTTGTTATTGCAGACGGCATAAGTGCCATATGAAACACGGGTTGTGCTTCTGGTGCAGTCAAGCAGGAGGTAGATGTTCCCATTACAGCCATTTTTGACAGCAGGGGTATGATGTGTATTGCTATGCATGAGATAGGGGCAGGTGAGTGTGGCCACAGTGCTGGTGTAATCAATAGATATGTTATCTATATTCTATTGTGAATAAAATATAAGTTTATGAGATTTGTAAATTATTCCATTCCTTTTTTACTCACAATTTGTACAGTGTCCCAACTTTTTTGGAATTGAGTTTGTACAAGACAGACCCAAAAGGGTAACTACAGCGACAATACCAAAACTGAAAATTTACTCACCCTCATTTTATGTCAAACCCACAAGACGTTCTTTCTTCTGTGGATCACAAAAGGAGAACATTTTGAAGAATGATGCAAAGTAAAAGTAGTTGTCCATTTGACAAGTGGTATATTCCAAATGTTTTGAAACTCTAGACAGTAGCTTTGTATGAAGAAGAGACAAACATTGACAGTAAATACATTAAGGTTGTAGATGTGATGTAGGTGTTTATTCTTCATATAATTGGGTGAATTGTGAAGACCTACAAACCAGCAATGTATTCCACCTTTTGCCTTTCTTATTGATATTCCCTGTTCAGTCTGTTCCTGTCTTCACAGATGAGTGCTATTGATTGTTCGGGAAACCGCAAAGCTGAGATGCAGGTGAGATAAAAGCTTAACCAAAATGAACCACAACCTCTGTCTGGTTTTCCATTCATAATGGGTCTTTATCTCTCCTCATCCAAATAAAAATGTAGCGGGTGTTGCTAACATCTACTGACTGGAATATTAGTCGATGAATTGTGTGTACAATGAACATAGATTTTTATTAGATAGTATACTTCTACTAGATATTAGTGCTACAACTTTTGAGCTGCAAACGTTACATTGTGGACAGAAAAAGGAAAAGCAGATAGCATCTGTGATGATTGGAATTTGGGTTTAGGATTAAAGGTTCTGAATTGTCTGTGAAGATGATTTTTAAGGACTCATGCTCTGGAAAGGACTACTCTGTAAAAAAAAATAAATACAAATAAAAACTACCCAAATGTCAATAGGCTCTTCTTTTAAAGGTCAAATACTTGGGCATTTGGTTGCCTGAGTACAAAAAAAAAACAGCTCAGCAGTAGAGCAAAACATTTTAAGAAAACATTTACCACTAAAAAATAATTCAAGTTGTAATCAAACATCCCTGGGTTGTCATTAAGCATTTAGTTCTACACATTTAATCTGCTCTTTCTCTTACAGCAAATTAAATGCGTATGATTAAATGCGTAATGTATTCATATAAGTTAACACAGGTTTCTTTAGAAACAAACATACAAAATTACAAATGTGTGTGCATTTTACCCAGCAAAATTATCTGAACATTGTGAAACAGAATGATATTGAATGATATTTTAAGTCTGTAGTGAAACTAGAAAGAAAGTATATCATTCAATATCATTCAACAGAATGATATTGAATTATATTTTAAGTCTGTAGTGAAACTAGAAAGAAAGTTTCTAGTTGAAACAGGTTACTGGCTATGCCGCTATGGAGACCTTTGGTGTCTATGTGCAAGCACCAGTTCATCCCTTGGAAATGAAAACAGGTTGTGTGTGTGTGCATGTATGTGAATGAAATTTGTGTTCCTTTCGATACTTCACTCGTACTGCGTCTTGCTTAAGACGCATATGGGAAAAAATACTTTTTTTCTCCTGAACTGAAGCCTTTTCATTCACGCAGTGAAACTGCACGGCCATTGCTTCATGCAGTGCTTAAAAAACGAACCAATAGCTCGGCAGCGGAGCTGCACGAGCCTATGGCGACGAAGTCCACCAAAGCCCGCCAGAATGGGCGGGGCCTCTGGCTATATAAGCATGTGCTCGCCACAGGATTCTCAGATTTCTTCTCCTTCAGCGACCACTCTACGTCCTCAAGCTGATCCGAAGCCACTCGTCGTTGACACGCCTTCGCAGCTGGAATCGGGACCTCTCAGCACGGCTGACCTGCTTCTCCGCTGCTCCAGCGACGCAGCAGTTCCGGTCCGGTTCCCCTGCCACAATTCGGCGATTTCTAAGAGA